TTGGTAAGATTATCAAAATTATGACTTAAAATTAGTGACATCGGAATTTATTTAGTAAGAATTTGACAGCAATATTTTGAAAGTTAGCATGTCCGAGTGTGCCTAATAACGACAATAAGAACTCACACTCAAAAGTCATTATATCAGAAGATTTATTTAATATAATTAATCTGAAAAGAACTTTGGCAATATTTATACCTTAAAGGTTATACCATCAAAATTAACTTCTCAGGAGCTTTAGAGCTATGCCTAAAAATATCATATGAGAATAAGCTTGGTAATGAAATATAGGTTTATGCTATATAAGTTTATTTATCAAAACTATCTTTGTAATAATTAATTTTAGAGGTATCATATTAAAATATATTAAGAACACTACAGATATGCTTTAAAGTTATCTATCAGAATGAACATAGGACAATATTAATTTCAAAAACCAAACAATTTAATTTTCTGCAAATTTTTATTAATAATTGTTAGTTCCTTACAACATCTCGCTCAACTTTCAACTGTCAATGTTTTAACATGGCTATTATATGTCAATGATTAGTTCCTTTTGATGGTGATTAATTTTGATATTTAAACTCTTGTCATTCAGACTGTTACTTTCAGGAAAGTTGAACAAACAAAAAATATCAAACATGAAAGAATTGTCAACCATATACTCCTATATTTTGGCACAAAAACCATCAAACTATTTGAATTTAAACCATAACAAATAATTACTTTATACAGTTGAACTTTTTGAATTGTGAATAAGTACATTATTTCTAAACTGATACGTTACAGAAAAACTGTAGTTATACAGAGAATAAAAACTAGTCCTTCATGGACATTCTACCAAACTAACACTCTATAGCCATTATTTCAGTAGAAAGAAAAATCTGTAGTTATACACAGAATAAAACTAGTCCTTCATGGACATTCTACCAAACTAATACTCTATAGCCATTATTTCAGACGAAAGAAAAAATCTGTAGTTATACAGAGAATAAAAACTAGTCCTTCATGGACATTCTACCAAACTAATACTCTATAGCCATTATTTCAGACGAAAGAAAAAACCCTGTAGTTATACAGAGAATAAAAACTAGTCCTTCATGGACATTCTACAAATTAAGAGCTCCCCAGTGGCACAGCGGTATGTCTGCGGACTTACAACGCTAGAAACCAGGTTTCGATATCCGTGGTGGGCAGAGCACAGATAGCCCATTGTTTAAGCTTTGTGCTTATTTTCAAACAAAGAAACAAAACAAATTAAGAATTGCTATCTTTAGAGTAGCAGATTAATACAAACGCATCTTTCTACATTGTAAATCAAATAATTTATGTTTTTTGTTTGGAATAAAGCAGAAGACTACAAGCCAAGCTGTGCTATGCCCTCCACAGGTATCGAAACCTGGTTTTTAGCGCTATAAGCCTTCAGACTAACCGTTGTGACACTGGGGTCAAAATAGTTTATGATTTTACGTAACAAATAAACCCTATATTATTAATAGTTATTTCGACATAAGAGAGTTTTTAAATTATAAATAAGTCATGAATATCATTTATGGCCAAATAAAGACCAGGTTCATATTCGCCATATACAAACAGTTATCATTTCAACATATGGTGGTAATGATATGAAAAATCACATTAAGGTGTGTCATAAAAACGTGTAAATTTTATTAAGTACAATTAAAAACATTATTCAATCTGTAAAATGATACTCTGTATATATATATATATATATATATATATATATATAT